TATGGTTGGTTTTTACTCCAACTACTAATTTTAAGTGCTTGCTATTGGCTCACAAACCAGTGACGAATGTATTCCTATGCATCTTAAATACAAATCACAAATTTGTCTGATGATGTCCGGCTACGACCAATTAAGCAAATATTTTGAGAAAATACTATATATGACGACTATATCGATGATCAAGTTGTGTATGATCAATGGCTTGATCGACAAAGCATTAGTATTACATGTGAAAATACATTCCATCTATTGCTTTCAATTCAATCTGATATTCATTTATTTGATACAATTTTTAATGTTTGAAGCTCTTAAACGTACCATGTCTCATTTTTATTATCGTTATTATCATTATAATTTTTTATTATTATTATTTGATTGCTGTAAATTACAAATCCTGTTTTCAATATATGCTGATAAAATGTAAATGCATAAGCGATTTTATATGTATTTATACATGCATTATTACTATTATTATTATTATTATTATTTTTCTGTGATGTTCTACTGTAATCATTTTCAATAGTGTTTGTAAATAAATCTATGGAAAAAAAATGAATGAATTTTAAATGATTATTAGTCTTCGATTTAGTTGTCTCGTTTTATTTGATTGTGTGAGAGAAATGAGTATTGACGAGAAATTGAGAAAAGTCTATTACGATCCTAAACATCCTGGCAGTTTTGAAGGTGCAGAACGACTTTATCAAAGTGTGAAAGATGAATTAAATATTACTAAGAAACAAGTTACAAAATGGCTAAGCACACAAGACACATACACATTACATAAGCCTATTCAACACCGTTTCCCGAGATATAGATTATATGTAACAGATATTGATGAGCAATGGGAATTGGATCTCGTTGATTTAACACTAAAACGCTACAATAAACAATACAGATTTCGCATTACATGTATCAATGTATTATTGAAATATGCATGGGTTATCCATGCATAATACAATAATACAGCGATACAATGTTGGATGCTATGAAGAAACTACTATCCGCAAAGAAAACTTTTAAAAATTCATACAGACAGAGGTTCTGAATTTACAAACAAAAAGGTTCAAGCATCTTAAATCGCAAGACATACATTCTGTCTCTTATACACATCTAGATGTGTATAAGAGACAGGCTTAAGCCCGAATGATGGAGATAACGGATGGTAGCAACCAATACAATTTGACTATGTTAAATTATTAAAGTCGAATTCAAAATGAAAGAGGAAACACGCAGAGGAAGAAAAACAAAAATTTGATGGTACAAATTTCCGACAACCAGTACAAATGATTTTAATATTTATGCGGATTAATAAAAATTACTTTAAAACTTGGAGAATATATAAGCTCTTCTTGTCAATGTGAAATCATTCACTTTTTCGAAATTATCGAACTCTACAAGTGTTGCTTTATCAACCATGGCTACCCGATTTTCTTTCAACGATGAACCAATCATTATTGGCAGCAGCAGTGAGGATAGGCTTCCTGCTATCGACCTAACGTCTTACAACGAACCAATTATTATTAGCAGCAGCAGTGAGGATGAGCTCCCCGCTATAAATTTTTCATCGACTAATGAAGAACCAATTGTTATCAGCGACGATGAAATCATTGTTATCAGTGATACGGAAACACCCGTTTTCGATCTGGAACCAAACAATCACCTTACTGAAGAAGAAATCATATATAATCCGATATACAACTTTCATGACTACCACCGCTACCTGGCGACGAACCCCGATAACTTATACGACGATAGTGTTTTTGATCAAGATCAACATGCTGAGATGATGGCGAAAGAAATTTTAGAGACTATCTACATAGAATAATTTTTGCTTTCACTCAGAAATTTAATAAAACTAGAATGCTACGGCTGTGAATTTGACCGGCCAAGCTAAATTGATCATGACATATGCCTGATGATGACACCCCACGAGCAGATGACGATGTATTTCGAGAAAATATTATACGAGGATTATATTGACGATCAAGTTCTGTATGATTTGTGGCTTGATCGTCAAGGCCTTATTTCTTGCGAAAATACTTTTCATCATTTTTTACTGTTAATTCAAGCAGATATTCATTTGTTTGAAAAACTTTTAAATGCATGGACATCATAAATATTACCAGTATTTTGTGTTGTTAAGCAAATTCGAGTTTTAAAATATTATTTATTCGTTTTTATTAATAATACTTTTATTGCTGTTAAAAATTTGTAAATATTATTTGTTCATTATTTAATAATTTCATTCATTTAATTAAAATCGTAATTTTTGTAATTTATTAATTTCATTCTTTGTAATAATGTGAAAGTCTGTTTGGTGAATTGTTTTGTATTAATTAAAATATAGTTTTGGAGAAAATTTTAAAACGGTTATTAGTCTTCGATTTAGTTGTCTCGTTTCATTTGAATGAGTGAGAGTGTATGGAATGGATGAGAAATTAAGAAAAGCGTATTACGATCCTAAGCATCCAGGCAGTTTCGGGGGTGCAGAACAACTTTATCAGAGTGTGAAAAGCGAGTTAAATATTACTAAAAAACAAGTACAAGATTGGTTGAGCAGACAAGATACATACACATTACATAAGCCTATTCAACGACGTTTCAATAGAAATAGAGTATACGTAACAGCTATAGACGAACAGTGGGAATTGGATCTCGTGGACCTAACATCATTAAAACATTACAATAAACAATTTAAATTTCTCATTACATGTATCGATGTATTATCGAAATATGCGTGGGCTATCCCTACTACTATCCGGTAAAAGAAAACCTTTAAAAATTCATACAGATAAGGGTTCAGAATTTACAAACAAAAAGGTTTAAGCATATCTTAAATCGCAAGACATACATTTCTTTACGACAAACAATGAAACAAAGGCTAGTATTGTTGAACGTTTTAACAGGACATTAAAAACGAGGATGTGGCGATATTTCACGTCTAAAGGAACCAATAAATATATCGATGCGCTGCCCAAACTTATTTCTAGTTACAACAATTCAAAACACAGATCTATTGGCACAGCGCCTACACTCGTTACAAAAGAAAACGAACATGACTTATGGCAAACTCTATACGGAAACAAGCAACGAGCCAAGAAACAAGGTTTAAGTTTAAAACCGGTGATCAAGTTCGTATTAGTAGATGTAAAATGCCTTTTAGGTTATCTAGCGAACAGGACGGAAGAAATATTTACAATATCCAATCGTAAAGGAACGCCTGCTCCAACGTATAAAGTAAAAGACTGGAATGGAGAAGAAATCGATGGTACATTCTATGAGAAAGAGTTACAAAAAGTTTCTAAAACCGATAAAGATACCTATCGCGTGGAAAAGGTCTTACGAAAGCGAAAACGCAATGGTAAAACGGAGTACTTTGTTAAATGGTTAGGCTACCCTTCAAAATTCAACAGTTGGGTACAGAATCTAGTCAGATAAGTACAATGGCATCGCAGTTCTATAATTACGCTACCAAGCAATAGCTCGATGAATTATTTTCCCGAAAATACACTAACCAGTTACACTACAAAATTAGCCGAGCCCATACGCCTTAGCGGACAGTGGGAAGTAGGCTTAGCCGAAATACAATATCCTCATTCGTGGTTTAATGTAGATGAAACAAAACGCTACTTGGAGTCGATTTAGATTCGATACCCGAAGCATCGGAAATTATAGGTAAAAGACCTATAAACCTCCATTATCGAGTACCCTCTTTGTACATGTATACCGACATTATCGAATATCAGCGAGTAGGAGATGCTAGCGTACCTCTGTTGAGAATTTTACAAACCAAGGAAAGTCATATGAAAAAAGAAGCTTCTCATGAATACGTAATGCCTCACTACAAGCACGTAGTTAAAAAAGATATCGATACCATATAGATAGATATAAGAAGCGATAGTGAAACTACATTTTCGTCAGTGTAGATTGTCTTATTTGGTATAATGGTTAACGCATACAAAGATTATTACATTGGGCAGGTAGGAGGCTCAACAATACCCGTTTTTCAAGGAACCATGAATCAACACGGATACGGTCTTGGAGGAATGTTATCGGGTCTATTCAAATGGGCTGTGCCTTTTTTGAAGAAAGGGGCCAAGACATTGGGAAAGCATGCTTTACGCACAGGTGCGGAAATAGCGGGTGATGTAATAAGCGGGAGAAATATTAAACAAGCGACCAAAGAACGTATAGTACAGGCCGGTAAATGAATTGTCTCTCAGACAGGTCGAGGAATATTGAATAAAAAGAGAAAACATAATCATAAAAACACCAGTCGAACGAGAGCCAAGAGAGCGAGAAGAACCTCCGATATATTCGAATAATAAAAATATTTATATCAAATATATATCAAAGTGCAGTTAACTTATACTTTTGGCACGTATGCAAAAGATTGTTGGTTGAAAATTTATTTGTTCGAATTCTCATCTCTTTCGGTGTATATGGTTTGAGATCGATGAATAAGTATCCGTACGATTCACGTGTTGCGTCATGGAATGCCTCTTGTAAGAACCGTATTTTACCTGGGTACATTTGCTTTGCTATGTTCATTATTTGCGTTTTATCTCGAGGATTTTTAAATAACACTATATAATGAGCATTAAGAGTTATTGTACGAATCTCTTTTGATCCATAGAAGAAAATTTTGCATTATAAATATTACTGATATGTTTCTGTGATGAGAACCTTTAGTAAACAGATTTACAACACGTTTGTCACGGCTACACTCCGTCATAAGATCATCAATGATTACTAGGTGATTTTTACTGGCTTCAAAAGCATCTATAGTTTCTACAGGAATACCTTCTACAAAGTTAATGTTGGTAGCGGAATTACTCAATTCAGTAAACAATGGTTGATATTCACCGTAACACCATGTAATATCATCAAGTTTTTTATCGAAATAATTATTTTGTAACAGTTTTTTCACAAAGACTGATTTCCCGGATGATGTTGGCCCACTAATTACAGCCGTAAATGGTGTTACCAGCTTGAAAGACATTTTTATTGTGATTAATTTAATGATTGTCTGAAGGTATAAAGTATAAGCACACACTCACAGACGCCCACAAAATTCTCTTCAATGTAACAGTTGTGCGTGGTGTGTTCTGATGATGATGATAATAATAATAATAATAATAATAAATGAGCTGTGTCGCATCGTTTGTCATTCAGTCTTTTAACATAATTATCAATCTCTCCATTTTTCTACTCTCTCACACTCTTCTCTCTTTCATGACGAATCAAAAACAATATAATTTACTAAGACATATCAATTTCAATAGAAATGTATTTTATTTATATAAAATAGAAACTTAATGCGCTTTTTAAATAACAACATGTTTTTATATACTTCAATAATTCTATACATTTTAATGCTTAACTTAAATACACACCTTATGTTATTGATAGGCCTATATGACTATGTTTAATACAATATTTATTTAATAATATAATAACTACAGTTCACCAAACAAAGCCATTTATATGGTACTGTTTTATAGTCATCAATGATAATTCTTTTGTCATAGACAATTCTGTAATCTTTCTTGGCAACCTCATTTACAATTTTTCTTTTTTTCACTTTTCTCGTTATTCTTTTAGTATCAGTAGTTGTAATTTTATCAGGCCCTATCCCTTTTACCATGTTACGAATTGTATCGAAATTAATAACTTTTGAATTTTCAAAATTTAACGTTAACCCCTTTACCTTGCATACGCTCTTTCCAGAGTCTAGCATGTACGCATAGTTTTTCGGACCTCCCGACACAAAACATTTTATATAGTTCCCGTCTTTTTTATCAATTTCGTTGGTTAATTCCCCTAAATAATCGCCCGTAGGGGGTTGCCATTCACCATTTTTTGATACATAAACAACACTATCTGTATCGTAATACAACACACGCTCTTGCAGAGCTTCTAGAAGCTCGTAAAGTTTCAACCTAGCTGAGGCTGTTGTAAATGCGGCAATTACTACGTTAACCTTCCTATTTACTTGAATCGATTGCTCATCGCTTTCGTACTTTACCTCAGCTAAGTGGTCATTTACAAAGTTTATATCGTTAACAAGAACGGTGGGGTCAGATAACAGATCATAAACAGTGTTAGGTTCCTGGGTGTAAATTGTTTTTGGTAGGTTTTCCTTTTGGCCAAATTTCCCCCAGAATGAATTTAGCATAAGCTTAGCTAGGGATCTTAAACCGGGGTTGTGTGCTATGTTTTCTTTTCGCAAGTGAATACCTTCAATTTGTTTGTATTCTTCAATATATTTTTCTTTGTCATTTTCTGTAGCACACCACTCTGGCCAACCAGATGCTTCCTGTTTTAATTTAAGAAAGGTGTTTATATATTCAGTGAATAACCCTGACGAAGGATTTTGTGGATCATAAACGCTTTTTTCCGGAAAATGCCAAACAACATCTACTCTAGTAATTTTATAGCCAACCTCTGTAGCTTTTTTAACCTCCGTTGTAACCCATGTACCGGTAAGCTCTCTTTCTGAATCGGTATGATTGCAAGAGTTCTGAATCTTATTTTCTATGCACGTTCGACATAGAGGAAACAATAGTTTTCCACCTGAACGAAATGGTAAAACGGGGTGAAGCAGTTTTTTTGGAGCTGTAACTGTGCATTTTATAAGTCCAAAGTATTTGTTTATATCTGTAGATAAACCTTTAGTAGCCAAAATTTCTGGGTGACCTATTGGGTAAGTCCCATATTTGTTCACGTATGGATACAAGGATGTGAAATCTACATAATGAATTTCTTCACCCTCACCTGCCTCATAATATAAATGTGCCGCATTTGTTCTACCCCTGAAAAAAGGCGTCTCTCGGGTTAAGCTTAGGGTGTATGAATGGAACATCGAAAATCGTTTCTTTTTCGCTATTGGGTAGAGAGTTTTTAATTACTTTCCAATCATGCTCCCACATTTCAATGTATTCGAAATCGGGAAATTGTTTTTTAAGAAAATTCGCTTTCTCTACAGTTTTTAGATAGCTCTCTATCATTGGCTCTTTTGTAAAGTGGTTGATATATTCGCTTCTATAGCATTTAGGACATCCGTGGTACAAGCATCCCATGTATTCGAAAATCAATTTAGTGTTGTTTACAAAGCAAGCCCCATCTACGCGATATGGTCCAAAAACTTTCTCCCCCCGTTTCTAGCATGGTGAATGTGCACTCCACGTTGTTTTGACTCGTAGCATAACCATTCTAGGCTACCGTATGAGTGATTATCTATAGTTAAGTAATTGGCTAGAGGAAACACGGCTATGGTATCGGGGGTTAAAAAAGTCCGAGAAAATACGTGAATACACGCTGAAGCTATTGTCATTAGACCCTTAGAAAAGGGGTCGACACCCCCTTTAATGGCATGATTTTCAGACGTCGTAACGCTTAAAAAAAGATGTCTGAAGGTTAAGCAACATTGTTTCAGTATATCAACATCGCTAATACAGTACTCAATTAACTCTTTCTTGAAATCAAATGTTTCGTTATTCTTAACTTTTTCGTTGTACCACTTGTAAAACCCATCTCTAGCTGTAGTAGACATTTTATCGGGTGAGTAGAACGACGCATCGGGATAAGGGCCTACGTAGTTTTGATTAGTTAAAGTGTTAAAGTAATGGGGAAAAAACCCTTTCTTAAGTTCTTTAATACCAAACGTTTTTGGAAAACTTAGTGGCATCGGTATGTAGGAGAGAGAATCTATAAAACGAAATTTAGTTTCTTTTACTTGAATAGAAATTAATTTACCACCCCTCGACACTACGTTTGAACGATACTGTTAGCATAAAGATATTGCATTACAAAATAGCTGTCGTAGCCTTGAAAATTATGAGCAATACAGGTAATATTTTCTTTAAACGGGCAGTGCTTAAATATATAATCGCAAAATTGGGTACAGGCTGTTTCTCCGTAAAATGTATGAGTTTTTTCACCACAAATATCGCATTCGTCAGTCTTTTTCATCGTCTATGCATTTCAAACAACTTTTCTTAAGTACACACAGATTTGGTTGGTGAGTCCCCGATTCCTGAGTGCATTCAAAATCAAAGAAAAAGTATTTTTGAATGGAATTTTTTAAGGCTTCATCATTTTTGAATTTCTTTTGAGTTTTATCGTCAGTAATTTGAACCATGAAGCATTTATGATCGTAGCTAACACCATTTAAACAAATTCTACAAAAATAATTATCGCACTTATGATTTTTAAAAATTAATCTTCTGCAATTCAAACACTGCTGAAATTTACTGCAGGTCGTAGCGTACACCTTTTTAGTAGTTTTATGATTATTAAAGCAAACTAAATTTTTAAAAACACGATTACAATCAACACATTTCTTAACAACGTCTGTATCTACGGAGGCTATGCAGCCATTACATTTACATAATTCACAGGTATATTTACATTTATGCTGAAATTTATGGTTATAACCTTTGAAACATCGGTTGCAGAACCATTTGACTTAAAATAAAGATAATAACAGAGTGTAAATTATCTTGCGATATAACTATAATTTGATAGTCGGGAAGAGCTTTTTGAAAGGCCTTTAACTCCTCAATCCCACAAGGTCCTGCTCTAACACCCGCTAGTTGTAATAACTTGTTAGCAGCTTCTGTTTGCCGTACTCCCCCTTTTCTAATACTATCCCATTTCACCCGATTACTTACACTATCCTCTAACTTAGAAATACCTGTGACGATAGCTTTTGCACAACATATGTTTTGATCATCATCGCTTGCTATTCTAATCAAATATTTAGCTCCTTTTAAGGTTTTATCTAAACCCTTTCTTTTCTGACCCGCCTAGTCCACGAAGTTATGACGTTGAAATTGATCCAGCTGATGCTCTTACCTAAATTTTTTCCTCTATTTTATAGAACCTACACAACCATCAACAAACACACGTTAATCGCTGTATTATAACTAATATAATCATTATTTTTTATTTTATTTTATGACTGTTTTTATTTTCATTCATTACAATTTTTATTACTACCATTATTTTAAATATATTACTATAAAACAAATCCTCTCCGTTTTAAACAAAGAATAAACAAACGTCACTCAGACATCACAGACCTGTACATATCATGAATTTTCATTACTCACCAGCCCTTATCTCGATGGACACGTTGCTCATTGTTTAATCTCACTAAGACGTCATGTACCCGGAACTGTCTGGGTACGTATCTCATTGGCTAATTTCACTATACGTCATGTACCCTCAAATCTATCGGATTTTCATTATTCGTCATGCCATGGTCAGGCCTCAACGTGTTTGGAACATCTTTTTGAAAATCCCGCTTCCGTTAATGCACTACTACAGGAAATTGTGTAGAAAAAAAAAAGATCGCCTCTTGGAATAGGATTTTACATTACATTGGAACAGGAATTTACATTACTATACTATTTGTGAAAGCAGGATGAGATCACCCTATGTAAGTTTTATATTATAATTATTATTAGTATTATTATTTAACATCATGACAATCTCAACAGTTCTTTTCAGAACTAATTAGAAAGGAGGAGTATTATTAACATAGGCCTACCCTCATTATGTTAATTAAGGGATAAATAATATTGATAAGAAAAAAATTAATATATACCTATCCTCATGCAAATTAAAGGAATATTATTATAATTATTAATATAGGCCTACCGTCATTATGCTAATTAAGGGATTAATAATAAATATAGACCTACCACCAGTATTACCCTCATATGCTATCTATGGATTAATAATATTATTAAAATTAATATAGGCCTACCCTTATAATTCTAATTAAAGGATTAATAATAAATATAGACCTACCCTTATTATGCTAATTAAGGGATTATTAATAAATATAGACCTACCCCAGTATTACCCTCATATGCTAATCATGGATTAATAATATTATTAAAATTAATATAGACCTACCCTTATAATTCTAATTAAAGCATTAATAATAAATATAGACCTACCCTTATTATGCTAATTAAAGGATTAAAAGTATTAATATTAATATAGGCCTACCCTCATATGTTAATTAAAGGATTAATAATTGATAAAAATTTATTACTACCAGCTTATTAATTTCAAGGTGAAATTTCCTGAAGTGGGACTATAACTACTTGGCGCGCATTTTTAGTTTTATCCTATTAAGTTATTTAAACACATAATAGTCCCAAACTCAAGAAGGACAAATTTAAGATAGATCATTTTAACCTAATAGAAGGGCCTCAATGTGTAGAGATGGTGAAAGTATATGTTTGTAATAAATAAAACCATGATGAAAATGCTTATATTTAGTTTCAAACACACGTGTGTGGCCTATATTATAAATAAGATAAGCCCTATGTCGTATTGTTTTCTATATGGGGAGTGGGGTGGGTGTGGTAAATTACTAACCGGGAAATGAGGATTGTATGTTATTATTATTATTATTATTATTGTTATTATTATTATTATTATTATTATGATGTTGTAATGATGTTGTTTGTACTGTTCTTTAATGTTATTAAAGAGGGTCCTGAATATCAGTTAATCTACTGGGCTAAACTAGAAGGGCTACCCTCTTTAAAAATAAAAAAAAATAAAAAAATAAATACCCACTCTGACCCAAGACCCCTGTTACGCGCCTGGTGTTAGCGCCAATATGTGCACTTGTGCGGACAGGAGATGTGCCCACCCCCCTGAATCTGGAAACCTTGTTTTTGCAAAATAAATTGATGCAATTTGCTATTATAGGCCTAATCAATAAATTCCTCATCAACCGATATAACCTTGAACATTCTTGGAATTGACATAACATTACTGATGTCGTACACACCCTTCAGTGTGAAATGTGGCTTTCTTTGCAAGCACATCTAACATCTAAGGAAAGAAGAGCTTAGATTGGTACCAGATAAAATAATTTTATCATCAACATTAATACATCATGCTAATTTTCATCTTTGTAAGTGCATAATACAGTGCAAATTATTTCTGTGACAGTCTTTTGAAGTGTGTAAAGCTCCATTTTATCCCATACATAGTAAAAATATTGGGGATGATACAATGGACCATCCCCCCCCCCTTGTCAAATATTGGGGGATATATCCCCCGGGATCTACGCCTATGACTGTCCTACGTGGCATATCCAATAAACAACAGGGGACTTAATGGACCAGCACACCGGGATAAACCCTTACTCTTCTCGAAGAATGTACTGGTTTCTTTAAAGTGCACACGAGCCAAAATGCGTACACTGGGCCTACGGTTTAAAGTCCTTATCCGAGAAGACTTGTTCCACCACCGGAAGCCTTGGCGAGTGAGCCGTTCGAACCAGCGCCGATATTAGAGTTGAAGGTTACGGTGCCCCTGACTGAACTTGCAGTTTTCATTGCATTCAAATAGATACAGGCTGTTGCATTGTTGTCTTACGACCTTTTCCCATCTACTGGGTATTGTAACGTAATATTTCGCGATACCAAACAACAGTACAAATGCAAAAATGATTAGTAATTTGAACGATCCCACTTTAAAAAACATAAACATCTTTCTAGCTCATCCAGACCCTTTGGCATCTCTTACTACCTATGGTTTGCAAAAACGTTTGGGTGTTTGCAAGTTCTAATGAACACCACCAGGGCGTTATAAAGTACACAATCTTACCATCGGGATAATCATGTTGCTAATTATTATGAGCAAAAGTGAATATATTATAAAATGTCAAGTGAGTCACAGCGAATTTCTAACAAAAATCCAAGTTTGATCATCGTCTCGACGAAGGCATTAATCGTCCTGTCTCTATTGAATCTTCGATTAAAATGTAAAACAAATGTAAATGTAAAATGTTCAAACAATTGAAAATGTATTAGTGTCAATCTCAAATAATCTAAATAATGAACTGTTATTGTAGTGTGAAGCTTGAATGAATGGTTAATTGACATTGAGCCACATACCAAACCATCACCATCCTCACTACAGTCATCATCAAAATCAAGACAATCATTTTTATATCGTCATCACCATCACCACATTCACAATCACCACCATCACCCCAACCATCATCACCATCACCTGGCTACCAACACTCTGTGTGTGTGTGTGTATTAATATATATATATATATATATATATATATATATATATATACAAATATAATATATTTCAAATAGTCTGCAAAAACCTCTTAAAAACACCATTTTATTATGAATAACAATGCAACTATTTCTGTGATTTGTGACCGCCACCATCAAAAGCAGGACAGGTTTCTGCTGAAGCAAAGGTTATACACAAATTACCTCAAGTAAATGCCAACTCAGACAGCGTCGGCCAATGCAGCCCGACGCGATATGTTGTCGCGTCGGGTCGGGTCTGTGTGAGTTGAACGCAGACGCGATGGTGTGCGTCGGGGGCAGTCGCATAGTAGAATATTAAACGTGTTTAATATTTCTCACGACGGCTTAAGACTGTCCCCGACGATAAATCGGGTCGGGCTGCATCGGCCGACGCTGTCTGAGTTGGCCTTAACATGTAGTCCATAGGATGCACACTATGCCAATTTATGTGGGCCTATATTACAAATATATTCATAAAGCATTTCAGTACAATATAACAACTTATATACAGGCTTCAAAAATATTATATTAACATGATAAAGTACTGAGATCTATGTAAATGATTATATTATTACTATTTCATAATTACAGTAATTACAAATAGTTTATCAATACCAAGTATTGTTAGTTTAAGGATTCTGTACTATCTTGATCAAGGCTTTCATCAAATCATATCAAATTAGTATTAAAATTATAAATATAAGTATGTACAAAGTTAAAAGTCTAATATAATAAATAATATTACTCAATTATACATATATTCTGTAGTGCTATTTCATGTAGATCACCAAGCTGTTATCTATTTCACTAGTTATTGGATACATTTTTCTCCTTACTAAAATATTTCATTACGTGCTGTCAGCACCAGATCAATTTAAGGCCAACTTGGACAGCGTTGTACGACTTGGTCAGACATGAATTGAGTGTCTGTGAGTTTAACACTGACGTGATAGATCTGCATTGGGAACTGTCACGTTCTACAATATTAACATGTTTGGTATTCTCACAATGTTGTAATACACAGGTGGGCAAAGTGGGGCCCACTGGCCACGAAGTGCCCGCCAGTGATTCTTTTGCGGAGAGCGAAAATGAATTACAAAGCTTGTGTTTGACCCGCCAATCACCTCTGGCTAGAAAAAACCTTGTTTTTTGCGGCTCGGCACTGATTATTTGTATCAAAAATTCACTTTGGCACTCCGAATAATTTTAATGCCCACACCCCATCATAATACTACTTCGACAAAAAATTTCGTCAGACTGTGTCCTACGATTCTCTCTGGGTTGGTCTTAAAGTGGACACAAGCAGTACGACCGGTCTCGGATTTGACGTCACAAGCAGTCAAAGCTCAAATCATTATTGCCCCAATAAATGCATTCATTGGTTTAACCAAAAAATAATACAGTGTCTCAATTCATTAATATACAACTAATTAATAATTTATGTCAGTGCACTATACATATTTATTACAATTATTAGTTATTATTTAAACACTAGTTTTTACATACAGTTATATGCAAATGATGAAGTTAGCAGGCTGTGGTAAAATGCAATATTGCATCTTCCCTACAATACATATTACAAGTTAAAAAACTTAAATTACAATTAAGATCAAGGCATTAAGATATTAGAGTAACCTGCCACCCTCATCAAAAATTAACAAAACTTATGATATGGATTAGTAACAGATACTTTACTACACCAAGTCTACATTTTAAAAACCTGAATAATTAGGATTGACTATTTTTCAGTAGAATTGTTTTATTACCTCAATACAAAATAATATGGCAAATAATAAAATAAATGTCCAAATATTTGAATAGGGAATACAAAAGGTAGTTTGTGAAAACATAATGGCCTCCATATTGGGGATGGAGAGGTTAAAACAGGCACATTTGGTATGGATTAAAGGCACATGCATTTTTATTGCATTTTCTTGTACGAAACTGCATTGGATTGAAATTTTTTAACCTTTCAAGGTTTATTTTCTACAATTGCATTCTAAAAATAATATATAGTACATACTAATAATGTGTAATTTATAGCACATAATTATTGTGATGGCTGCTTCTATAAGCCTCCCAGTCAGTTCTTAAATAGCACTACTATAATTCTATTCTACATTAATTCCACAGTCATGCATCGCCAAGCCGTTGGCCGAGATGTATTCCTGTTTCTTGCGCTGACCGGAAGTTCAAATTTGAGAGTGATCACTTTGCACCTCGAATATCTTTCATATTGAGGTTTAAGCGGGTTTAAGGAACATATGTGGCTGTATGTAGCTGCTGCAGGTCTCATGGCCCAGCATAAATTCCGCGGGTCTCATGACCCAGCATAAATTTCTAAATTGAATGAGGACAAATAAAGAATTACTATTATTACTACTATTGTTACATACAAGCTCCTTTCAACACATTCAGAAAAAGTGCTTTGCACATTTGAACAAGGTGATTAGTGGCAGCGCCAGCAGGGATAAGCTAGAGTTCCTATATGGAGAGAGTTGCGACATGAGCGGTTCAGGTCATGTGACTACTGGCCGCCCTCTATCTGCCATCTTGGTGCCAATTGATCAAGTCAGTGGTGCGTAGCCAACAAAAATAAGATAAGCTTCGAGGCAAAATTATTGAACTCATGTTACTTAAAAATCCATAACTCCGTAACTAAGAATTGTATGACTTTTTTTTCTGGAAATGTTCTTAAAAGACTATTCTACACCATTATATAAGTTTTAAGAAATGAAAAAAATATTTTGACCTCTGCCACAAAATGGGAAAAGAAGAGCCTATCTAAATAGTGTATTAAAATAGGCCTTTGCAGTACAGTACGTAGGTAGGTAGTACTAGACTAGGCCTAGCTAGCTATAAAAGTAGCGTAGTACTTTTTCAGTTACCATATGACTTACGGATTTTTCTTATTATATACTACTAGTTATTTTGGAGATACCCTCGTACTGGGACCCTAGCTGAGGCGTGCCACAAACACCCATTTACTATACAAATTTCTAAGTTGTCCAGTGAAAAGGCCTAGGCCCAGTCGCCTACTATTTTATGAGCCGAGCAAATGCGATGTTGTACGACTAGCTAACTGCATGTAATATAATAATTAATAATGGCATATTGAGAATCAATTTCTTTTGGAATTTTGTTATAAATTTCAAACAATGTTGATTAACAGATATTTACTATCAAATGACATAAAATTTCTTATTAATATTTTTATTTATTTTTTTCAATTGTCTATTATTTTTGCAATCGCCACACTGCAGCATAGGCTTTGCGTTTACTCATGCATGCAAGGCACCAAAATGACTAACCAGCAGCGTCTCATGTCGCAACTCTCTCTCTAGAGGAACTCTAGGAAGGGCTTGGGCCTTTTGCTGTTGCATGCAACTTGAGAATGTCGGATTAAAAGTGGTTAATTTTCTCATCCAATAATCTTACCATTGTAAACAATTATCTCTCCCTATTTTTAGGTAGTGTGAATTACATTAATATTTCTAAATATTTCAGAGTTTTCTATGTTAAGGCCTAATTGTTATGTACATGCAAGACAAGGTAAACATGATTTACAAGGGCTTAGAGAGATCATTTAAAGGGAATAGCAAGAATCAATTCAATAAAAAAAAAACATACAGTTCTGAAACCTTTATACACTATGTACAGTATTGTAAGTCTTTGTAGACAGTGATATTTTATTCAGTAAAACAGTCCATCAAGTTGTAAAATTAGTATGCCGACTTAAAAGTTCAACAAAAAGTGGTTTATTCCTGCTTGAACTCTGAAAGTTAAAATTTGCTCATACTGGTATCTGCTCCTGGCCTTACTTTTAGCGTGAGTCGTGTTTCAAGTGCAACTCTGCACCATCTACAGGACTTCTTATCTTCACCTGATGTAACCAGATTACAGCGCCTCGATGAACTTTCAATGGGCTTTCCGTTCGGAGTGTCAATCAAACTTAACAACTGACCAATCAAAACAGAGCTATGAATATGTGCATATCAAGCACATAAACGGGTGTTTGCATATGTTTTTACACTATCATTTTGTGGGACCATAGCAACAATATCCAAGGGGCGTGGCCTAGCAGAAATGTCCATTCTTTAGCGTACAGTAGTGTCTAATGCCCTGTTTTGGAACAATAGTTGACTTTTATATTATTGCTAAGTTGTGCAGTAGGTCACAGTAAATTGTCAGGTGGAAGATACAATTTACAATGTCTGAGAACGTTTATTATGTGCAACTAAAACAGCATCGCTGTGTTTCCGCTTGACCATCCTGAGAAGAGATCAGAGTTTGTTTCAGGTACAGCTTCAATCTGCTCATCTTCAATTACTTCTTTTGGTGCTGGTGAAGGTGTTGGGACATCCTGATTCCGTTTCTCTTCGATTGTGCTCATGTATGCCTTTTGTAAATAGCTTGGAACGTAGCCTTGGAGACCTGCATGGAAAAACAAACATGATATTCTGATTATTCGGATTTAAATAATGGTACTAACTATTATTACTTATTTAAAATGGTAGAATGAGAGGCAACAATTTTTGACTTACTTTCAATGCTTAAGATGTTTTAACTACAGTATTGTATTGTACTGTATTTAATATAAAAAAAAATGTAACTGCAGTATAACTTTTTGTTAATACTTATTCACAATTTCTGTTTTAATTTCTTACTGTATGTCTCAAATGTTGATATTCAATTGATGTATTTTATGAACACTAAAGTTTCATTAAGAAGTTTTTGATTCAAATTTTTAGAAACAAATGACTTTCACAATGTTTCGCTGATAGTTCAGTAGACTACATATGAAAATGAAAGCCTGGTACCAATGTTACATTAGTAGTTATTGAGGAGCATGAAATCTAGGAACACAGGCAGCCTCCAATACGATCAGTCATAGAACATAGAAGATGCATTTCTGTATTACTAAAGTACCAAACAAGGTTTTCTTATGTTGAAATGTATACTCTCTTTAGTCCATAGTGGCAGACAGACTTCAGACTAATATTGTAGTTACTGGTCCAGCAACTAAAAGAGCAGTGCACTGGAGGCTGTGTAGGCCCTAGTAAGAGGGTGAAGCACTTTATGCTCTGATGATATATAATGGAATATGAGACATCTTCAATATCATTTCCAAACACTTTTAATGCTGGTACTTGTTCAGTATGCATTCGAAGCATGTAATTTTTAACAGCATATTTCCCAAGGTTAATTATTTTAAGTAGAAGTGACAATGTAATACATGACAATAAATGATTATGGGTATAAAAAAATGCCAAATTATAAAAATCAATAGTGATTCTATGAGTAGATACTTACCTGGATAAACCGACAAATTGGCAATGCTCTCTCACAAGAGAACACCCCTCGAAAAATAACAGTAGCGAGAATAGGCAATTATTTGGTTTATCCAGGCATTAGTTATTCACGAAGTAGACTAATTCATTCTTAAGTAGCATTCCCACAATGAATATTTTCAGCATAAATTTTAATAGTAAATTACGATTCCAATACTCAAAAGATCAACAAATTAGATTAACAAATTAATTCCTACAAGTAAAGTTTCCAAGAATGAACATTTTAGACTTTACTTACTTTAATTAAAATATTAAACTTTAGACTTTACTATAGCTGATTACAATATCATATTAAAAGGATTAACAAAATTAGATTGTATGATATTTTACTGGGTTACAGTAATTCTGCCCTTACTGTACAATGAAAGTCATCAAGTCAATCTTTAAATATAAAAGCACTTTATTAAATGATTTCTAAATAATGCAAAAGATCAGTTAGTTGATTCTGCTTATTGAGTTTGATTTGGGTGTTTTTTGTGTACTGATGTGAACCTGTACTATACAGTAAAAAAACTAAAATACAGTACACAATATATTATCTGATCCCTCTCATGGATAGTAAGTACTTCTAATATAAGACACGAACATTAATAATACTGTAATAATGAAAAAAGCAATGAAGTGGATTGCCATCATGTAAAGTAAACAAGTTGCTTATTATTATAAACAATGTTTAATGGGTTGAGTGAATTTTACTGTTCTAATAGTTTTTTTTTTTTTTAGTGGAAAACCATAGAGTACCACAGTCGTGTCGTCACAACACCAGGTGGCGCCCTCTGGACGTTGGTTACTGTTCATTACACCTGAATAACATGGTTTAGAATAGGCTTTCTGGAATAGGCATTTTAAAACCTAATAATTTACCACCAAAATGTACTAGAAACACAAAAAGCTCGCATTTTTATATTAGTTATCGAACACACATGTAATCATTAATTAACATTTACAAAGAAAAATTAAGTTACAACTTCTTAATAATTAAGTTAGAAATTGGGATCAATGGTTCGTCAGTGGAGAAAATGGCGTCAGTTGAATTCATTTTGTGTGGCCGATAGCAACGGAGTATCACAAGGTATCCTGACGTAACACTGTAGTACTCTATGGGCAAGGTTCTTCAATTTTCACAGTGCATTCCTCATGCACCCTTGGCTAAACTGCTGACATTACAATAAATCTGATTATTCTCAAGAAAAATTTTTTATAGAAGATTTTTAGTTGTAGCAAAAAACACACAGTACTACCCTGAAGTGGCTAAAAGAAGACATTTCTGGGCAGCTAACTGTACATACAGTACAGTTTGAGTTTTCAACAGAATAGTCTCAAGCCTGCAAAATTCATGAAACTTGGAATCTCCGAGATTACTACCAGGTATTTAACTACTGTACCGGACCCACCTTTGTTTCCTATTGAGGTATTGCTTTTGAGACCTCCATCGACTGACTTATCCTCCTCCACATCATCATCTTCATTGATGTCAGTAGAACTCTCAGTTAGTTCTTGCGTATCTGAATCTTGAATTAATGTTAGATTTTCTGAATCATCAGCAGATTCAAGTTCGTCAAAGTACTGGTTTGCAGATAATTCTGAAGCGTATTCAAAGGTGACGCTTAGTTGTTGATTAAACATGACTGAGTTCTGAAATAAAATTATAAAAAAATATAGTATAGTTAATTCTTACATATTAAAATAAGTTACAATATGTTGGTTGCTAATCTAGCATGGCTACCTCCAGGTCAGGATCTCATAATGTGCATCCAAACATACAATACTCACCCCTGGTATTTTCTTTACTTGGCAGAATACTGAAAATTGGGTCGGTGACCTTTCAAATGTTGTTGTACTGTACTGTAACTGATTGTTGGTTAATTTTTTTATTCTTTTCCAAGTTTAGTTCCAGCAGGGTGGCACCAGCGGGGCCGGGACAGGGCCCCGTCGGTGAGAAAAGAAAAATTATGTTATATGTATTTTGGACATATTTATTACTGTAGACTTCCTAAATTGTAGACCCCTAAATTGTGAAAATTGTAGGGGGCTTCGCCCCCTGGACCACTTTTGGATACATTTTAAGTGACGCTTGACCATGCCCACATTACTCTCGTCGGGGAAATCTTTGACCTACTCGGGGAATCGCACCCCGCAGCCCTGTCGGAGACCTCCAACCCCCGACAGGGGAACCCTGGCGTCACCCCTGAGTCCCAGCCCTACATTTTACAGTAGGCCTACTTAATTACATTTTTATCAGATCAGTAACAAGATGGTCTGAATCATCTAGCTAAACCTCTTGAGGAGGTTACTTCTCTGGGGTTGCGTAGGGCCCCATTAGTGTAATGGAGATAAGGCATCTTCTGCTGTGGCATAATTTGTTTCAACGCATATTTTGATTTTTTTTTTTTTAAAGTTTTGTTCCTCAAAAGGACCTGCTTGGCCTATTTGGAGGCCATGGTCCTGGTAGAAAATTCTGATAAATTTTCCGGGACTGACTTTAGAGGGGGGGGGGGGGGGAAACCTGGTGTGGGGGGGGAGGAAACCTGGTGTGGACCCAATATACTAAATTTTGATTTAAATACAGTAGAACCCCTATTAAGGGGACACCTTCGGGACCAAAAAAAAGTGTCCCCTAAGTAGAGGTTGGCAACTCTGTTAAAAGATACATTACACTTCCCCTCATTTTGTGTCCAAAAACATTGTCCACTTAATAGGGGTGTCCCAATAGAAAGGGTTCTACTGTATGAAGAAAAAAATACAGAGAATGACATTGCCATTAAAATTTCATACTGTACAGTGCTTCAGCCCCAAACATGATGAGTCGGGGAGCTCAGTTAAAAGACCTAACAACTGCAGTACCTGCTACTATACAGGCCGCCTGCAGCAGCTAACTAATCAATCGTGATTCATAGCTTGTTATTGTTTCTCACATGTGAGCTTATACAGTACAGTAAGTGTACATAAACCAATATTTTTCTCACATCCGTATGGTCCAATAAATTATTGGATTTCTAAATTGACCAGAAGAAACTAGTTTATTTCTACTCATACAGTGTTTTGATTTTAAAGACAAACATCTGAACAAAAACTGTTCAAAGAAGCATCTAATTGCTACAGTATGTTAAGTTTACAGATGTAGTGCTTTGTACATAAAATTACATGTCATTTTTTAAAATTATTATTTGTGCAGTAATCTATGATATTGCTAAACACGGCAGACACTGCAAACCTCTACCTTCATCATTCAAAAAACTAAATAATATAATGATAAATCTTTACATGTACAGTACTATAGAGGCTACCAATAGACCAAATAAAAAATATTGGAATTAAAAATAATTCATTTTTTGGGTAAAAAGTTGTTAAAACCTACTTCATCCAAACACCTTCATAATGATTATATGTATAATAGAGCACACAAAAAGACCAAAAAAAAAAAAAAAATGTTTTTAATCATTTTTTGTGTAATTCCTTATGCTCCATAATACATTAATTATCAATGGGTTTGTATGATTTAGGCAGAGGTTTGCAGGTTTGCGTAAGGTGTTTCACAAAAAGTAAACTTTTAACCCCAAAAATGGATTATTATAGCTACAGTACTGAATTTTTTTAAATATGGGCATTTGGTACTCTTTAATCACATAGTGGTTTGAATGATGTAGGCAAGGTTTGCGGTGTTCTACAATAGGCCTACTCTCTACTGTACCTGTCTCTTATACACATCTAGATGTGTATAAGAGACAGCCTTTCAAATGTTGTTGTACTGTACTGTAACTGATTGTTGGTAATTTTTTTATTCTTTTCCAAGTTTAGTTCCAGCAGGGTGGCACCAGCAGGGCCGGGACAGGGCCCCGTCGGTGAGAAAAGAAAAATTATGTTATATGTATTTTGGACATATTTATTACTGTAGACTTCCTCCTAAAGCCTGTGTTTTGCGTGTAATACTAAACCACGGCAGTGTTCCACAGCAGGAAGAGGTTAAAGATTCTCCTTTCACATTTTATAACTTTTAAATACAACATTCCTTTAGTTAAATATTTTTATCGTTTATAAATTACCTAATTGCACGATTTACTTATACTGAAACCCTGTCTAGATAGATTCTGTTGTCCCAGCACTGAAGACTACGGTACACTATTGTAATGCAAATGTTTTGATTAATTTTTGTGTTGTGACAATAAAATATTCATAAGTGTTTAGTACTACAGTAAACCACTGTGTCTATCTTCTTCGAGTGAAATCGACACCATGCCTGTCTGCAAATTTGCGGTTCCAACATGGAAGAGATTTGGCATATAGCAACATACTGTAAACATTTTCCAAAGACAAGACTTTTGTATACCTTGTTTTACAAACTATATTTTAAAAAGATCTCCAGGGGGAGATAAAAAAAAAAAAAGAAAAAAAAAAAGAAAATTATCGTATCTAGTAGACGGAGGAGGAAATAAAATTTAATTTATGGATGAAATTTGAAAAAAAAAACAATTCGTGTCTGGACATAAACAGTAATACTGTATGTGCCCTTAGGCTTCATAGCAATCCCATTGTTGTATGAAGAATGTGACATGGTTATGTCAACATTTTAAAGTAAATGGAGAGATACAGTATATTATTCAATTCAGAGAAAAATATTTATTTTTAGGCAAAGCAGCAACGAATGGGAAAAAATGGGGGAAAATATACATTGAAAGCAGGAGCATTAACAGGCCAAATACAACACTGTATTTTATTGAAATTAATTTGATCAGCCGGTGGTGAGTTCTCAAAATAAAGTCCAGGTAAATGTTTTTATCTAGAGTACAGTAACTGTAACTAAATTAGTTTACTTCACCAAAAATTTCTGTCCGCGAATCCGCAATGAACACTTTAATGAAAAACATTAAATACCAATAGAATTGAGTAAAGTGAAGTCAATTTATGAAGAACCAAAAAAATGCAGTGCAGTCCTATATCAGTTCCTGATGATGAATGATAAAGGTTGAAATAATCAATGGTAGGTCACATCATAGAGAAAGTAGAACAGACTCTATGGTCACATCAACAATGTCTTTTTAAGACCCTATAGTATTTCATTCATTAAAATTTTTATCATGCGAAATACTTTAAAGATATAAAGTTTGGCTTTTTTTTAATTGAAAGTTATGTTTGTGGAGATACTAGCCAGACACAATAAGTCAACCGTAAAGTATGATGTCAATGTCACAGTGAAAAATGGAAAGTGGTCATGACTAATACTATATCCATAGTGGTGGGCAGAGAAGGACATGCTGTTTAATAAAAGGCTACAAAAGAATAGAAGACTTTGTAATGTGTGAGGTACAGGTATGCATGAAAGGGAACAATACTATTCTGAATCACGTCAGTAAATGGATGAATGATTTTAGAAACACCCTTATTTGTCTAACCTCTTAGTACATGGAGGTGTTTTGTAAGTGTTGATAGTACTCCATGCTACCGAAATGGGTATTCCTTAAAATACAAACAACTATATTGAAGAATAGTAAATTGTTCAAGTTAAACAATTAATTTGCGGTTTGCAATGAATAGAGCAATCTATTCTAAATGTTGAGATACTCTCAACACATCCGTTCAAGTCAGAAGTATTTACATAGTATACCTCAAATTTATACTACCGGTATATTTTTTTTAAAATGATTTTCAAAGTGTCCATACAGTATGAAGTATAATTAACAGTAAACAGAACATTGACTATCTACTGTACCGTACCTGGTACCCCATATTATTTGTAGGAGTACGGTAGTACTACTGTACAAATCAAAAAATAATAATGCATCAATTTAAAATTATTCAAAGGCACAGTTTTTAACCACTCAGAATTTTGTCATGAAAATAGTTTTTTTTTTAAATAACTTTAAATCATTGTTGTGTTGGTGAATTTTTTTATAAAACGGGGGAGTCCATTTAAAGGAGTGGCAGAATATGAGAAGGTTTATTTTTTCAATAGGTTTTGCATGAGGGACACATTTTTTTATAACCATATTAATTCAGAGATAAGACTTTCTAATTATACTTGAAAATATGAACAAACTGATAATTAGCACATTGCAGATGAGATAACTGTGCATCAAACAAAATTATCAAGGAGGGGTTGATAGAATTTCAAAAGGTAGGCCTATTATCAACTAAAAAAAGAACATTATCAAATCTTATCACTTTGACATTTGGGTTATTCTTTTCAGACACGTACCTTATCTTATCAATATTTCATCTTGAGCAGTTTTTTACTAACTGTATGATTTCATTTTGTGTAAATATTGTATCCAATGTAATGGAATTGTCTGATGTTCAATTAAAGTCAGATTTCATGTTGTACAGTATATGTACAGTAAATATAGTGCCAAACAAATCTTTAGAATATGAACTTCAAAATAAAAAAATCATAGCCATAATTATTTATCTGTGGCTCTCTGAAAAGTGATAAATGTATTAAAATTTAAAGAGTTCTAATTCAACTGTATATTTAAATTTTGAGGTTTTCCCAATTTGTCTTGTGGAAGGATATTTACATACATTTTACAGTACTTATTAAATAATTAATTTATAATCACTGTATAGTAAAAAAAAACAAGTACTGTATGGCTTGATTGTCAGTTTTAAATGTTCTTATGCAACTTTTCAATAAAAAAAAAAGTAATTTTTTAATTACTTTTTGTGTCAAATGTTTTTAAGTGTTTTATTATTAAATTGTTGTTAGTATATGCTACCTTAAATGGTAAACAATTTGCTTCCAGTAGCATACAGTACGTACAGTAATAATATTCAGACCAATTTAATGAACATAAAATAACATCAACATTCTCTCTGTATAAAATACAAACCTCCTATGGAAGTTGTAAAAAAATAGTAGGCCTACCTATACAAATACTATCTATTGAACTAAAGGGTAGATGGTTGAGGCAAGAACGAGGTAGTACATTACAATTCTGTTGGAATGCAGTAGGACAAAGGACTTGAATTGTTCAATGGTAAATTAATTCAGTTTGCAAAGTGACCCTTATTATTGTACTGTGACTGACATGACGTGATGAAATGGTTTTTTGTTAAAGTATCAGTAAAATACAGTTCACACTCCAATTCAAGACCACCTAATTTTTGACCTGAAAATTTTGAGTAGTGTTGGGGTTTTGGTTTCCAAAGAGGATTAACTTTGACATTATTTTGTGTTAAAAGACTGAAGGTTGTTAATTGGTAATTTGAAAAAAGTGGTCTTAGTTGAATTAGTTAGAGAGTGGTTTAACTTTGTGTTAAAAGTACACTACTTTGAAAAAGTTGGTACTGTACATTGAAGAAGTGGTCTTGAACTACTGTACAAAGGTGTCTCACATTGGAGGGCGCAGAGTACGAAGTGCTATCTGCACATACAGTATACAAAGGTGTGAATTTATCATACCTTCCTAGATACTGTACGTGAAATAAAAGTGTTGTGTTCACAAAATTGAAATTAGTCTACAGTACATAGTGTACAATGATCAATTAAATTTAAATATTTTGATGAGGAAGGAAATAATGATACACATACAGTACAGCTTCACTGTTGGTTTTGAAAATATTGGGACACATAAAGTTGATTCTACCAACCACTAAAAAATGAATGAAAATAATATAAGCAATAAAAACAATATATAAATGTCTATTTACCTTTGTTTTCTTTATATCTGGGCTATCATCACTTTTCAAAATAGACGGCTTTCCTGTATATTCATTCTCCCCGATAAACTCTACTGAGGTTAATTTCTTTACAACTCCTTTCTTTTTTTCGCTATCATTTTTAACAACTGACACATCCCTTGGTTTTTCGTTAACTGTTTTATTAATTATTTCATCTGACTTTTGCTCCACTGGTGTGAGTTCAATATCATCAATGTTTGAAACGGGCAGTTGATCTTCCTCTACCATTCCGTTCTCCTTTTGTAATGGTACTACATCCGATATTTTATTTTTCGATAAATCAGTAACAGGTAATTCACTTGTTTTACTTTTTCTTTTACTATCTTGTTCTGTTTTTTCTCCAGAAGTTCCTTTTACTTTATTTGGCGACTGCCTTTTATTTCTTTCCGGTGATATTAATATTGGAGTGTTTTGATTACGCTCAATTTCTGTTTTTGCAGAGGAGCTTGATTGTTTATTGGTATCAATATCTTCTACTTGACCTTTAATTTTCAAAACATCATCTAATATAGGAGCCTTTTTCTTTTTCTTATTCCTTGGTGGTGGTATCGGGGAATCTTCAACATTGTTTTGCTGTGGGGGCATTGATGAGGGAGGTAGTTTTAACTTCTCATTACTTGCAGATGATTTTGAGCTTTTGCTTCCTACATTGTCAGTTGCCGTCTTGCTTCTGTCGTTGAATTTTTTTCTGTTACCACTACTACCTACTGCTTTGTTTGAATCTGAGTGTTTCTTGTACCTATTTGCAGGTACACTACTGACACTAGAATATATGGAACCTGAGTTTTCCTTCATATTATCTCTGTTCCCTGCACTGTAGCTAGATGGCACATTTTGACTTTGTTCATACTCCATTCTAGTTGTCATTTTATTATCAACTGGTCGGCCTATATGGGCACTTTCAATAATCTCAAAATTAAAAGGAGACAACTTTGATAATGGACTTAAAGGAACATCCTTTCCTAAGTCAATAAGCTCACTTGCAGACAGATCTGGCTTATTCTTTTTCTTCTTTTGCAGATCGATATTTTCTCTATTTGGAATGATTGTAACTTTTGGTACTGGATCATCTGGATCAACATGATCCATTCTGTCTGATACTTTTATACCCATTTTAGAGCTTGATGCATGATGGTTAGTTGTGTACGAATTGCTTTTAACGGCATGTTTTACATTTTGTGATTTTACAGAACTAGCAGTAGAATTAGTTTTAGTAGAGTTAACCAGTTCTGTATTTGCCAAGTTCCGATCCAAACTTTTGCTCCTTGGACCTTTGTTGCGCTGATGAATACTCCTTGATTCTCTTGGTACATCTAAAAGATTTTCCTGGGATGAAGATTTAAATCGTCCAAGAAGTTCACTTACACTCAACTGCTTTTTGTCAGCTATATCACTTTCATCAATAGACTCCTTACTTTTATCCGGAATATCTAAAACTTTGCATTCGTTTGAATTACTATTCTTTGTGTGATTTAATGTTTTTTCTTTATTTGTTGACTTTGCATTGACATTGGGTTCAACAGGTACACTTTCTAAATTATTTATTCCTGATATAAAATGAGAATTCGGTCTTGTTTTTGGCTGTGACTGAAATACAACGTCACCATTTCTAGTATTTGAGTTCTTTATTATTATTTCACTTCGTGGCCTGGGCCTAGACTTATTCCTGTCAAGTTTCAGAAAAGGATTGTCTTCTACCGACGTACAATGTTCCTCAGACACTCCATCAACACCTTTTTCTTTTTCCAGGCCTTCATCATTACGTATAGACGTATGAAGTTTATTAGACGCTTTGTTTTTTCCTTCAGAAATTGTTTTTTCAGATATTTTAATGTCAATATCAGGTGTTGTGTTGTCAGCCGATACAATGATGACATTTCTTTCCTCAATAACGCGTTTCCACGGCGGTAGCGCGGCCAACCGGCGTTGCTCAGCTTCAGCGGCCTTCCGTTTTTCCTCTTCTTTCTTTTTTTCTTTTCGATCCAATATTGCTTGTTTCCATGGAGGAATCGACATTTTATACAGTTAATAGATTACAGACTGACTTGAAACATAGAACAAGTTTTAATGGGAAATAAAACTGCTGTTTACCGTCCTTCTGAATGAGAAACACCCTCCTTGCCTCCGCGAATAGGCCCGTCACCTGTGTACTGTAAACATGAAAAATCTATTTTTGATTAAATAATCACTTCCGCCCTCTATGAATTTGGATAACCTAGGTACTCAAACAGCATCAGCTTTTCTATGTTCCTGTATAGATAAAAAAAACCGTTTTATTTGAAATTTAAATAATATATATAATTTAAATTTAAGTATTAGTGTAAAGATAATACAGCAATTGAAATATAATACACATTTGCTACGTAAGTCTTTCTATTTTTTTTACACGGTGTTTGATTGGCTTTTGTGTGTAGACAAAACAATGTACACACGGCAGCGAAATTTACGCCAATTTATTACTATATTGTATTCATAATAGTTACCTATAGTTGACTGCAACAAGGTTATTTACTTTTTCTTAAGAATTAGCCATTATTTTTAAAATGTATTTTCATGAAACCAGAACTAATTGTATTCATGATCGATCGTACTACAGTTATCTAACTTGACCTTTGGTTTCATGCTGATTTCACACACAACAACCGCTGGTGGCGCGTAACAAACTTTCCATGACAACCAGGCAATAGCAACAGACGCATCGATCGACTCATCCACACAACTCAGCTTGTCTGAACCGCTGGAAGAAGTTATGTGTTTCGTATGATGTTGCTGTGATATATTGGAAAATATTTGTTAATTAATGATAACAATACATTTTATTTTATAATGCTTACATCCAGAACTCAACTTCCACTAGCAACTGCAAGCGTTGGACCAGTTTCATGGAGAGATTCGACGATAAAAGAGATAAAGTTTTCTCAGGCTGTGGTTGAGCGAAGCGACAAGAAAGGTCTTGACTGGGGTCGGACAACTGATCCACTTCCGTCACTGCGAGATAACTGTGCACTGCAAAGTAATACAGTGGTCTTGTCTTACGTTAGGGAAACAAGAGCTGTCCTTGTGAAGCTACGAGAAAGCTTCTTGGATACAAATGAAGAAGTTAAATCACTTATACGTGGAAAAGAGGCACTAGAAAAGAAGCTTGAGCATATACGTAAAGATATTGCCTTAAATAAAATAAGTACGGAAGTCAGATCTACAAGACCGTCTAGAGAAAGGGTAAAAACAGTTTACCTTGTTTTTTAGGGGAAAAACCTGCTGCTTTTGATGATAATAAAGTAATAATTGATGATGATTTTGTTTTGACTGTAGAAGTTCTAGTTAGTAAAAATAATGTACAGGCCTAGACCTAGCCTAATGGAACACACTGTCTTCCTCTGCCTTCCTGATTGGGTATTTCCAATGAATGATGATAATAATATATATGTAGGCCTAATACATTTTAATATTGAATCTTGTATTTTTATAATTGTCATTTCTAAATCCTCATTTTATGACAGCACAGTGTCCATTGATTGGTATCCCTATACATTTCACAATTTATTTTCTTATTTAAAAACAACATAGGCCTAGGCCTATGTTTTAAATATACTGTATTTTTAATTTATATTGTAGCCCAGAGATGGAGCAGATGGTTTACTTGAGAAAGAACTACAACATCTATATCATCTTAAAAAATCACTGGAGACCAAGTTGAGGGCAGTTCAAAAACAGCTGCAGGTAAAATATAAAAAATGGTATTATTAATATTTGCATACAGAGCTGGAAAGTTGGCAGAATTCTTGATGAAAAATGTAAGCGATGTGTGTGTTTACTGTTGATTTTTATATCTATTAAAATTTTTTCCCCCAGGTACTTGACATGTGTAGGAAGCGTCTGAATGCAGTTTTACAAGAAAGAAACAGAGTGTTGGATCTCTTGTGCCATGCTGTATCCTCGGTAACTAATGCAAGTCGAATTAGTGGCCGAAATTCCCGAAATAGTAGTGGACGCTCATCAAGACAGGACAAGCTAATGACCTTTGGATCCAATGGGCTTGGCTACACCCAGCAACTAGATGCAAATATGAGAGATACCAGCGATGAACCAAAATCTCCTAGCAATGGCCAAGATCTTGAAGCACAAGAAAATTCTGTCCTAGATCCCTTGGGACCGTTTACCCCAGAAGTAGCAGCGTCTATGGCACAGGCTAGAGAAGCCAGACAGAGATCCGTTTCTCTTAGGAAGGAGATTAAAGAAGCGATTGAAAACACGCACAAATTGCAGAGTGCAGCACACCAAGCTGTCAACAGTGGTCTTAATAGAAAGGTTGCAGAAACTGTCACACTACAGGTAAAAAAAAAAAATTTTGTGAAAATAAAGAGAATGGACCAAAATTTTTTCCAATAAATTGGTATTTCTGTACAGTATATTTATAACTAATAATATTGAAATACAGTACACCCTCCAATACTACTCCGTTGACTACATAAACTCCAATATCATTGTAAAAAATTTATTTCCCCTATATTAGTTTTCATATTCCTCTAATATTTTGACTTGGCCTAAAGTGTAATTTGGTCAATACACATGGTGCCTGGGTCACCAGCATATATTGTAATGGCTTTTGAGATTACTGATAGCATTACCCCAATACAAAAAGGCTTATTTACACATAGCATGCAACAGCATTATTATATTATACTAGATTTATGAATTAAAATCATTTTAATGATGGGGTTAAAGAATATAATAACATAATATTAGGCCAGGGGTTCCAATTTGAAAAAAGCCACTTCAGGAGATCTGTTGAAATGAACATCCTTAACACATCTAATTTTGGTGTGTATGGTGATACTCATTGGCAATGCCTTCCGGGAAACAATTGCTAAGAAAGAGTAAGAAATTTATATCATGAATTTGCGGGAGACGGTCTATTTTCTAAGAGATTTTTTGCTTGCAGGAGAGCTGGAGACCTTATTTTTTTTTTCCGGGAGACTG